TCACTCATTTATAAATAGGTGAAACAAAAAAGAAGTTCTCGGTTTTTTAAAGCAGGATAGGAATGGTCAGCTGGGCAGGGATTAGAAGTTAATTCCCCACCTTGTGTCCTGGGTGAGGAAACTATATGATCCCAGAACACCATCAGGGGGAGGGACTGGAAAACCAACTCTGTGTGTTATATATCTAGGAAACCATAGAAAGAACTGCCATGAATAAAAAATTGTTGCGAGGGCACATTATTACATTATTCCTGTTGTTGCTATTGTTCTTGTTGTTAGGAAAGTCTATTGCTGTTGACTTCTTTCTTTCTCCCTTCCAAATGCATTCCATACCAATTGTAGTAGGTGTTTCAGTGGGGAAAAAAATCCACACAAATTGTTCAAACTGATTAATTAAGGGATAGCATTAAACAGTCCCTATTGACCAATATATTTTTGTGCATGTTTTAGAAACATCCACAGTATTTTGTGTACATTCAAAGGTACATATCTTGTCAAAGGAATTTATTGTTCATTCATAATATCACAATCCTAGAAATACACCAGTTTCTCACCACAAACCATCCAGTTTCGTGTCCAGAAAAGAGCGAACAGGATAAATCTATTTCTAAAAAATGTTGTCAAAGACAATGTTTCGCATGTCCCTTGTGAATCTGAACTTAAGGTGGTATCAAGTTTAATTAGCAGCCCACCATAATTGCAGTGCCTCAGACAAGGTCATTTCCTCTCATATAAGGGATATGTCCATGTCCTTCAGCAAGAGATATTGTGTAGTACATTAGTTTTGTACCTTGAAACATCCACCATGACTTGTATTGCCTGAAGCTAGCAGCTCAGTATTAGAGACCAGCCTTCTGACACAAAGAATCTTCTTCTACCATTGTCATTCCTCATACAGGCAAAGAGAAACAAGATCTCCAGCGGTGTGGAAAAGGTGACATTCCATTCTAATGAATATTCACAACCCTCTGGACCTCCTTAGCAAGAGATCTCACACATGTGCTGTGAAAGCCTCTACTCATAAGGAGCTCAGCTGTGTAGCATACCTACTGCAGGGAGCACCATGCTTTGAGCTTCCAAAGCTGCCTGCATTCTTCCGACTCTGATGTGTGCAATAAGAGAAGTCATCCCAACATGGACAAGAACTACCTACAAGGCAAGACAAAGCATCAAACAAAATTATTTATTTGCACTTATATTCTACCTTTCCTTCAGTAAGGTCAAGGGAATCCTCTTCCCTACTTATTACCAAAAAAAGCAAAAGAAAAAAAAGGGGGGAGGGGTAGTCAGGGCAATTCCCAAACACTATATTCAAGAGAATTTTATTTTATGTATGAACTATATTTATATCCTCTCTCTTTTTTTCATTGAGCTCAAGATGCCATCCATGACTTCTTTCCTTGTCTCTTTCTCCTCATAAGGTCATGCAAGGGTGGGTGGGGGTTAGAAAAATCTATTTAATCCAACTGAGTTCTCTCTATCTCTTCTTTTTAGACTCCATGCAAATTTACAGAAAAGCGAACAGAGAAAGAGTTTGAGCATTTTAGCAATTTAGCAAGTGTAAACCTGAAGAATTATTCTGTAGAAGCTGTGTTGATGATGAGAATGTAACTTCGCCATGCAACTTCTGGAGATCCTGAATTCCTTAGCAAGCCAAGAAGGAATGGGAAGCGGAATGCAATTGGCACCAAAGAGAATGAAGGCGTGAACAGTGGCTATAATCCTGTTATCGGTACCAAGTGTGTCCGGCAGAAATGAAACAAAGGGGAATGGCTCATACTTATCAATTATACTTAACAAGGGAAAAAAGAGACTGGGAAATTTCCTTTCTTGGAGGATAGCTCTAAAATCCCACTGTTATGCTGGGGTGGTGTTGGTGTTCTGGGAGTTATAGTCCAAGAAAGTAAGCTTTCGAGCACTGCAAATGGGCAACCTAGGTCCACGTGCACCCCTCAGGTAATTTTCAAAAGCCTTCTGCAATCAGTCAATTCAGATATTGGCAACAGCAATCTATCTCCAGCAGCCTGAAAGGGAGAGACAGAATCATCATCATGTGCTGTCCCAGCCTCTGGCTCCACAGCCAGATACCTCAACCACTGAAAAATGGGTGGCAAAATCATATGGTCAATCCTCATGCATAGTCAGGTTTTCTCCATTCAGACATCTCACCCTCTTCATATTCAAGCCAGTGAAACCAGAAGCAGGCAAGGCTGGGGTGGCATGCACCTCCTGCTTCTTTGGTAACTAAATGCAGATATTAATGCCCCTGAAGAGGGGCAGACTGTCCTACTTTTGGCTTCAGCTCCACCTATTGCTGACTTCCCAGCACTGGGTACAATCCTCAACGCCTCTGAAGGGGAAAAGGCCCTCATGTGGATCATTCAGGCTTTAGTCCAGCAATTTGAAAGGCAGTAAAACCAAGTATATGATTAGATTAGATCTCCTTTACCTTGGCAGTCCAGTTTATCTGTGTCATTTTGCCAGCAGTAGACACAGTATGTGTGAATATTTGGCCATCATCTGGAATCCATGGTCCACAAATGCCACCTTTCCCCTTTTGGTAAAGAGATGGAATTATACAAACATTTGGTTTTTTCCTCTCTAAATTTCAAGTTCTTTCCAACCTGCATCTGAATACATGTACAAAATTGGTAAATTGCTACCAAAATGTCAATGATTTTCTCGCTCGTCTGCAGCGGCCAGCTTTATCAGGCACAGCTACTTCTGGCATGGAAAGGACCATGTTATAGCTGGCTGCCTCACAGCTGCTAAAAATAAACCTCAGGGGGAAAAGATGGATACTCAGATTCAGCACCACACCACAAACATGGATGAATACACAGGAACTCTAGCCCAGGTTTCTAAGAGTGATGCACTCAAATCTCTGGACCTGGATGAAAGAATCTATCCATGTATTTTTAATCAACAGTTCCTTCTATTTCTGATATGACATTTTAGTAGATGCAGATTAAGTATTTTAAACATCTTTTTAAAAAAGTAATCCTAAAATACATCATCCTTGGGTAGTTAAATTTCAGTATTCTGTGTTTTTTTTTAAATAAATATATATATATATTCCATCCTATTTATTATACAATGTACAAAATACCAACACCTAACAACAGTCTAGAAAATCAGTAAAATCATATCAAACCATCAATTAATTCTGAATCGTCCTGGAGCAAACAACTTTAAGATGCTTGTTGACTTTTGTGGGTAGAAAATAGATGGCTACCCTCTCTTAACGAGAAGGTTCACAGAATGGCTCTCTCTCACTACACGATCAAGGCTGCCCCTCAGAGCTTCTCTCCAGATTCACAAAACCATGAAAGCAGTGTCCTAAGATGACCTGAACATATGGAGTGGTGAAAGACCATATGGTTTATAAAGGAATTATTACATAAAATATTATGGACTAAGGCCACAGAGGGCTTTAAATGTTAATCAATACTATACAATTTCTGTTTCAAGCATTCTAAATACAACTTTACACATTCTCATTCAAATTTTACATGTACATTTCAAAATTCTAACTCTAGAATGCAACGGCTTGGATGTGATTTTCATTGAGAGTCTAATGCCCTGATCTCACAAGGGAAATGTTTTCTAGTACTTCCAGTACTTTCCACATCTCTGTTATAGTGAATCGTGGTCATGTGGTTTATATCCTGCGATGAACATCCCAAGAACTTTTAATGGTACCAATTTCTTTTCTCCTATTTGAATCATTATGACCAGCTTACACCATGGTACAAGTTTATTTTCTTGCTTGCTTCAAGGGGCAATTTAGCTTCATATATATTAGATTAGATCTCTTGTATATATCTCAATACATTGCTATATCAGGAACATGTTTCCCCCCTCCCCTGTGCACCCAACAAGTGTTTCCAGCCCCTTTTGTTCTAGTTGCAATGGAACCCTGCATGTGGGGGGGGGCTTGCATGCATGGCGGGGTTAGACTCATGCATGGGAGGCTGGAGCCCTGCCCAGTGGGGCTGAAAATTAGAGGGAATGTTGATCAGGAAGGGGTTTCTGTTCAGCAGAGTGTCCTCTGTTGCACTGGCCGCTCCTGCAGAAATGCACTGCACACAATGGACATGGTATATCTAGACAGCCCCCTTCGCCCTCCCCCGCTCATGGTGCGGCTGAGGATGCGGCTTCATGCTCTGGAGAGGACACTCCTCAATTCAGAGCATGTTACCATAGTCTCTCAAGACTGAAGGATGCCTATGGATTGTCAATCACACACACACACATATACCGGTAACACTGGCATACCAACAATTCAATGTATCTTCCCATAGAGAGTTTTAAACATTATTACTCACCAGTAATATAATGGCACTCCCCCAGTTACATTCTTTTACTAACATATCGATATATCAGGAATAAAATATTTAAAAAATTAATATGTGCACAGTAATGGCGGCCACTTTCCTGGCTTCAGTGCTGAAAAGATGTGGGCCAGGTTGTGCACACAAGAAATCCCAGTAAGGAATGCACTGTTGCAACAAAGGTACAAAATAACAAACCCTCTTAGTGATGGGAAAATGTTCTGTGGCTACACTGCTGCCCAGGAAAATGTCTCGATCGTGTCTGTGCACCATGTGACCAAGGGGGGAAAAATGACAAACTAACTGGTGGGTAACTAGAGAACACTTCCTTCATGTGACCAGGACCTAAGTGGCCCAATAGCCAGGTGAAAATTTAATGTCTAAGAAGCAAGCCTTTCACTAATAAACATATCCTTTTGTTACGTTCACATTCAGAAGCCTGAAAGCCAAATTCTGCTGTAATATATGCATATGGAGTCACTCACATATCACCAGCTACATAGGGCCTTGTAAGCCAAAGGTAACACCTTGACTCTGCCTCAGTATTTAACCAGCAACCAATGGAGATATATAACCCAAGAGTCATAGATGCATCGTTGCAAGCACTGCTGTGCGGCTAGAAATTTTGGAAGTCAGCACATTTACATCGCCAAGCACAACACCAAGACATCATACTTGGAGCTGAGAAGAGAAAAAAGAACAGATGTGTGAGAGGAGTGGCCAGCAAGCAAGCCAGAGAGAGGAAATTTGAGGTAGAAATGAGAAGACAACAGAAGTTTCATTTCTAAAGAATGGACATTCTTTGGGAATCAAAGTCCTGTTTTAACACTAAGCCTCATGGGAAAATCAAATCAAACTCAACTAGAGCAGATCAACTGAATCAACGACTGAACGGCCTGTCAAGACTTACATGAATCCCATTGGTTCAATGGTTGAGTTGGACCTACAAATTAGATTCAGCCTTTCAGTATTCAGTCATCTGACAACTATATGCCAAAGCACTGCAGAGGCACGGAATATTTCCTTTTATTAAGAATAATCAGTGTGTCAATGTGTCAATTCTGATCTGTGGCAACTCTCCTAGGATTTTCTAGACATAAAGTTATTCAGACACGGCTTGCCAGTCCCTCCTTCTGATAGAGTTCTGAGGCCATGCAGCTTACCCAGGGCTATACAAATAGTACAGTTTGCAACCCCATCAGAAACACAAATTCTGTGTGATCTCAGTTGGCCCCTCTTTTAGGAGGCACAGTGGTATTAGAACTCTCGGCCCACAGGCAGGTTCTCCAACCCAGTGAGCTGTATTAGCTCCCCTCCTTTTATCAAAGAATGTTAAGAAAGATATGTAGGGGGTCAGAATGAACTACATAAAATTATCTTGAAAGCTTTACGACAGGCTTCCCAACCTTGAGTCCCCAGGCGTTCTTGTACTACAACTCCCAGAAATACTGGCCAGCACTGCTAGTGGTGAGGGCTTTGGGAAATTTTAATCCAAGAACATCTGGGAACCCAAGGTTAAGAACCACTGCCCTAGAAGGTGTAGTATATTTTGTAACTGGTTAAACTGAGCACACTTTTGAAATTAAACTGGTTTTACACAGGTTGTACTGCTTTAGCCTCTCTCCTAGCTCTTAAGTCAGAGAGAATTCACTATGCTAACATATAATTCTCTTAAAGGGAGAGTCTGCTATCCACAGTAGTGCTATGTTAAGAGTTAAAGGGCATGCATATGCCCACCATATCCCACCAGTGAAAGGATAGAGCTTTTTAAGGTATAGGGGATCTAATTCAGTCAATGACTCCCTTCATTGGAAGGGGCTCTGCAGATACACATGACTCTGCAGATACGCATAGAGCCCTTTCTCATTCCAGCCAATGTATCAACTGTGGGAAATATTTCCATTGCAGAGGTCAGCGGTGTTAGATGTGGCCATACAGAAATTTCTGTATGGCCACATCCAACATGTATTTCTGTTGAGCAAAGGACAAGCTTGCATGGCCCCATGACATCCACACACACACACATTCTTTCGATCCCTGGGACTGCTGAACTCCCTCTGGAATACTTTGCCCAAGGCCATCTATTATTCTTTACAGCTGAGCAAAAGCTTGAACTTGTGTCTTCCAGGTTCATCATTCAGCCAACTACTCTACTGAAGAACATAAGAGGAGCCCTGTTGGATCAGACCAAGGGCCCATCTAGTCCATCTTCCCATATCTTACAGTGGCCCCACCAGATGCCCCTGGGAGCACATGAGACAACTAGGTATTCGTCTCCTGATACCCCTCCCCTGCATCTGGCATTTGGAGGTACCATCCCATCTTCCCATATCTTACAGTGGCCCCACCAGATGCCCCTGGGAGCACATGAGACAACTAGGTAATCGTCTCCTGATAACCCTCCCCTGCATCTGGCATTTGGAGGTACCATCCTTTTAAGCCTGGAGATTACACATCCCCATCATGGCTTGTAACCTATGATGGGACTTTTTTTCCAGGAATCGATCCAATCCCCTATTAAAGGCATCTAGGCCAGATGCCATCACCACATCCTGTGGCAAGAGGTTCTACAGACTAACAACACGCTGGGTAGAGAAATATTTTCTTTTGTCTGTTCTCACTCTCCAAGCACTCCATTGAAGTGGATGTCCCCATGGTTCTGGTATTGTGTGAAAGGGAAAAGAGCTTCCCTCTATCCACTTTATCCATCCCCTGCATGATTTTATACATCTCAGTCATGTCCCTTCTAAGGCACCTTTTCTCTAGACTAAAGAGCCCCAAATGCTGTAACCTTTCCTCATAAGGGAGGTGCTCCAGCCCAGTCATCATTTTAGTCGCTCTCTTCTTCCAGTTCCACTATGCCTTTTTTGAGGTGCAGCGACCAGAACTGTACACAGCACTGCAGGTGCAGCCTTACCATTGTTTTGTACAATGACATTATAATGTTGGTTGTTTTATTTTGAATCCCCCTTTTAATGACACCTAGCATGGAATTGGCCTTCTTCACTGCCTCCACGCACTGGGTTGACGCTTTCATCGAGCGGTCCACCAGCACACCAAGATCTCTTTCCCGATTCGTCATGGACAGCTCAGAACGCATCCGCTTTGCCCCAGTGTGCATTACTTTATGTTTTCTTATATTGAAACTTATTTGCCATCTTGCCACCCATTCTCCCACTTTGGAGAGATCCTTCTCAAGCTCTTCGGAATCCCTTCTGGTCTTCACCACCTGAGAAAATGTTATGTCATCTACAAACTTGGCCACCTCACTGCTTATCCCTATCTCCATGAGTGCAGTTCTTTAACACTACACTGGCTTTATTATTGTTTTGAGAAGAGTTTGGCAGCCTGCTTCCAGCCTAAGCAGGGAGGCAGCTAGACTATAAAGCCAAAAATAACATGCTCTCCAAAGAGAGACAAGAAAACTTTTGATCTCTGCACTTTCTGTGAAACAATGCATTTCCCCCCAATTGTTATCTCATGAATTAAGGAAGGCATTCTTTCCTTGTAATGAATAGTGGCAGGTATTCCAGGACCCACTTAACTACAGGAGCCCATTCTTATCTACTCAAAAGTAAATCCCACTGCTTTCAATGGAGCTGATTCCTAGGTATAAGATTGCAGCCTAAGAATGGAATTTTATCAAAAGAGTGTTTAAAGAGGGAATTTCTTGCAGCTTTGTCTTTGATGTTCAACTTGTTCTGACGGCTAGTCCAGATTTTCTTTTTTTATTTTAAAAAAACCTCAAAAGAAGTCTATTTTAAGTCCTTTTATAAAACTCTAATTTCTCAGCTCCTGGACAGCTTCTGAAACTAAGGGTATAAAAAAATAGAAAAAAGATGGAGCATATAAATAGCTCCTACTTAGCCAAGCTAAGGTTGTTCCAATAAGAATTTCATATCACAAACTCATATTTCTCATATATTGAGAGAGAGAGAGAGAGCAAGAGCATATCTAAGCAGGGAAGCATATCTGAATAAAAATAAATCTTTAATAACAATCGGCTATAATTGAGTCCTCTTGGTGAACTCACAAATCTTCTCATCTTGACAATGAAGCCACAGAATCAGAAATCTGGGCACCATAAATTAGTCCCTACTTATTTCTGAAGGAGATAAAAAGACACCTTAGCATTTATAACTAGCATTGCTCTCCCTGTATAGCAGGTAGGAATCTGAAGTAAATAAAATAGTGGTGTAACTGCTAAATCCCTCATGGTTGAGGTGACATCTGAACACGGAATAGTGAAGATTTTAAAAAACAAAGGAAAAAACACATATTGTGGAAAGTTTGAGATGAATAAATTTACTTTCGAGTTAGTTTTCTTTGTATAATCCACCTCTTCAAAAATGCCATAATCCAAAAAAGTAGACTCTGTCCACAAAAACTCACACTGAAATATATTTCTTAATCTCAAAATTGCCACAATCCTCCCCCCCCCCAAATTCTAAAACAAACCCATAGACCTACCACTCTGAAATATCAGTATGGGACTTTTTGGGTCACTGCACATCCTCCTAGCTCTTCAAGCAGAGGAAAGGAGAAGAAAACTCAAAAGAGATGTCCCTTCTGAAGCATTAGGACCTCGCACTTTGAGCTTGTCCTTTTTGAGATTTTAACATCTGTTACATTTAGCAAAAGTAGGATCTGTCCTTGTCCTTTCCTGGGCTAGCCATACTACCAGACACAGCAAGAGAAATGGCTCTTTGAGGTAAAATGGAACCTGTGCACACCATAAAACTAGCCAGGTGCTTCCCAAGCAACCCCAAAGCCTTCAGAGACTGTTCCATTGTAGGCGTTCAGGCAAAATCCAGCTGTCAGTGTAGCTGGATTTTAGAAGAGAGGGGAGGGCACCATTTTATTTTTTGCCCCAGGCAGCCAAATGTCTCAGCCCAGTCCTTATCTTTTGACTTATCATTATTGCCGAACTGCTGTTGCCACTACCCCTTCTGAAAGCAGCTCCCACATGTTTTCCGGGCTATATAGCTCAGAGATCTCAAAATATTGCCTTTGGTACTAACCATGAATGCCAAGGGACAGGAATGAATGTTTGCATGATGGACACAGCAGTTCTCTCCATTAGCATCCTTCCAGTTGGGTGGGCACTCCTGGTCTTCACAGAACCTCTTAGCAGCAGCTGCATCTCTAAAAAAAAAAGAGTTTTTAAAGGAAGACAGAAGGATTCCTTGAAATCAATGTGCATTTCTACATTAACTTTTAAAATGTATGTGGCGTTCACCCTAAGTTATGCATTATTCATAAGTTATATGCTAATGTGGTTGTGAGGCGGGGCCAAAGGGGCTGCTGAAGAGGCGGAGCCTGGGAGAGAAGTTCAGTCTGAGTCAGGGAGAGCTAGAGAAGAGCATAGTTTTGGGGGCTTGAGGCAGAGAGAGTGTGTTGAAGGAGTGATTAGTCAAGAGTGTGACCTGTATTAATTAACAGAGAAGAGATTAAAGTAAAATACTGAAGCTTTGTGTAACTTTAAGAATGTGCTTAAGAATTATTCTGGAAACCAAATATCATCAATAAACCTGTTTCTGTTTAAAAGTTCAGTACTGGATGGACCTTAGTCTTTCATAAGAAATATACGTTTATAAAGAGATCAACCGGCGGCAGTGTGTCAAGAGGCTTGTTGGGATGCCTTCGTGAGCTCTGGGTTTGGTGAAACAAGCAAGGGCCACGGGGTATTTATTTATTTATTTATTTATTTGTTTGTTTATTTATTTATTTATTTATTTAATATCCCGCCTATCTGATCGGATCAGGACCACTCTAGGCGGCTAACAACATAAAAGTACAATAAAACTGATATATAAAAGAATTGTTAGATAGTAAAACATTACACAAAGTGGGGGAAACAATAAGAGAGAGAAAAAAAGGGCGTCAGGAATTATCTGATGGGAAGGCCTGCCGAAACATCCATGTTTTTAATTGATTCTTAAAAATACCCAGCGAGGGAGCAGCGTGAATCTCAGGAGGTAGGTTGTTCCAGGAGGAGCCACCACTGAGAAGGCCCGATTTCTTGTCTTTTCCTTCTGGGCCTCCCTCGGCGTTAGGCTCCTCGGCCTCACCTCCTGGCTCACATGAGTGACACGGGTAGATCTTCGTGGGAGTAGGCATTCCGCCAAGTATCGAGGTCCTAAACCATTTAGGGCTTTGTACGTAAGCATCATCACTTTGAAGTCGGGTAAACATCACAGTGTACATTAGTAGGGCTATGAAACATATATTGTACAAACAAATCTCCCTGAAGGATTTTGCCTGTCTTCCCCAAGGAGGCAAATCAGTCTCTATGCCATACAACTTTCACATATTGGTTCTCAAATATAATCTGCTTGTACTTATGTGGTTTTCTTGTTTAAAATGTCCATAAAGCATGTTGAAATATGTACTGTATATGAGCTCCAGTACCCTGTTTGCAACCATGGAGACAGGGGGAAAGGAAGAGTAGTCCATCTTAACTTCCCAGCTGAAGCACCCCAGAAATGGAGGAGAGAGGAAGGTCAACTGTTGTAGGGGATCCATTCCCTGTGTTGCAACAATACTATTCTACTGAAACCACTCAAAGTTGTGGCCTTTTATTCTCTGGCAATAAATTTATCCAGCAGTAAACTTGTTAAACTGTTAATGATGGTTTATGATTTTCTTTGGAGTCACTAGGTACCATGCCTGATCATTGAGGTTAGCGTGCAAATTTTCCTGAAGCAAGAACACAATTAATACAATCTTGTATGCATGTTTTTCACCTGTGGGAAAAGATTCCATTCTCCACAGCATAGTGGTAAAAGGGATCCAAAGCAAAGACTGCATAGACAACATCAAAGGTCTCTCCACTTATGATCTTTTCTGGAGGCCTCTGAACCCAAGCCATCTCTAGACCTAAAAATAAAGCAGAACCATGAGTCAAGGATGCACAGATCAACCCTGGGTCAACCTTTCATAGCCTTTAGCTCAAAAACTTGGGGTGTGTGTGATGGAATCAGCAATATAGTCTGCATGTCATATGGGCCAAAAATGCTCTTTTTGGGTGAGGGGCAGATGAGCGCAATTAAAGGAGCAATGCCTCCTCAGTTTCCCCAAAGGGTAGTAACACTTTTGCTTATGGATTTCCATATTTGAGGTACACATTAGGAAAGATTTCGTGCAGGGCTTTGGATACCACATCTAATTTTGTTCCCCTTTGTATCAAAACCCTTTTATATATTTGAGTGTTTTTGTTGGCATTGCTTGGTTAATACTGCTACCATTCCAGCAATAAAAGTGGCTGATTGATTATAGACAAATCAGCAACAGAAGAGCTGCTATACACAACATTTTTTTCTTGATTTATAGGTGAGACTCTTCTATATCCTTCACTTTAAAAAAAAACCCAACAAATTCTGGGAAACTGGAAATGAGATTCTGTCCAAAAATATCTAACTGTCACAACTCAGACAAAAACACCTGATTACCAAGATACAACTGTATTGGATGTAACAATGACAGTGAAATGCGAAACAAAGAACTGAGAAATTGGGTATTTCCCAGGAAGGATGGCCAGAAAAGAAGACAAAATGGATGCATATTTGCATGTGCTGATATTTGTGTACAACAAGCATATTTAGAAATAATTTTTCTGTATTATTTTTAATATTGTAAGAGAGAATTCCAAGAATTATAGAATCATGAAGTTGGAATGGGCCTATAAGGCCATCAGGTCCAACTCCCTGCTCAATGCAGGAAAACAATCAAAGGATAACTGCCAAGTGGTTGTCTAAGTTTCTCTTGAAAGCCTCCAGAGTTGGATCATTTCTCGAGGTAACTGGTTCCATTGTCATACTACTCTAATAGTTAGGAAGTTTTTCCTGATATTCAACTGAAATCTGGCTTCCTGCAACTTGAGCCCATTGGCCTGCACTCTGGGATGATAGATAACAGATCCTGCCGCTCCTCTGAATGACAGCTTTTCAAGTATTTGAAAAGTGTTATCATATCTCCCCTCAGTCTTCTTTTCTCAAGGCTAATTATGCTCAATTCTTTAAGTCTTTCATCATAAGACTTGGTTTCCAGCCCCCTGATATTCTGTGTTGCCCTCTGAACTTGTTCCAATTTCTCAGCATCCTTCGTGGACTGTGGTGTTTAGACACTGCACTCAAGATGAAGCCTAACCAGTGCCGAATAGAGGTGAACTAATTCCTTGCGGGATTTGAGGACTGTACTTCTGTTAATAGAGCCTAAAATAGTATTTGCATTTTTGTAGCCACATCACACTGTTAGCTCATATCCAGCTTGTGATCTACAATGACTCGAAGATCCATTTCACTTGTAGTCTTGCTGAGCCATGTATCCCCCATCTTTTAACTGTTTGTCTGGTTTCTTTTTCCTAGGTCCAGTACTTGCACTTATCCCTGTTGAATTTCATTCTGTTGTTTTCAGCCCAGTGCTCAAGCCTATCTAGATAATTTTGAATTTTGTTTCTGTCTTTCAGGGTGTTAGCTATTCCACGTTAATCTTATTATTGACCCCCATCTATTGAACGTTAATCTTATTATTGACCCCCATCAAAAAGTTTGGTCTGTTCCTCTTACTGTACATAAGGGTTCATCTATCTTTACCTCTTTACTTGTGTCTCCCTCCACCCTTTCAATTCAGTTTAAAGCCCTCCTGATGAAGTTCTTCATGCTATGGCCAAACATATTATTCCCAGTCCTTATGAGGTGAAAGCCATCTCTTGCTAGCAGTCCATCTTCCAGGAAACTTAGCCCATGGTCCCAAAAACCAAATCCCTCACTTTTGACACCACCTTCATAGCCAGTCATTCACCCGGAGTATTTTTCCTTTCCAAGTTCTAGTAGGCTGGAGGAGAAAAGTATCTGGGCTCTCCAAAGTCCTTAAGTTTCCTTCCCAGAGCTTCAAAGTCTTTGATGTTGCTCTTGGCTGTGTCGTTTCTTCTCACATGGATGAGAAAGAAACGATATGTATCCATGGATTCTGTGAGTGATGTCAATCCTGTCACATCCCTAATCTGTGCTCCAGGGAGGCAGCATATCTGGTGGGTCCATGGATCTTCCCAGCATACTTCAGTTTCAATCCCATGCAGTAGGGAGTCTCCTATTACAAGTACTCTTCTATTCCTCTTTTTGTAGGGTGGGGGTTCAGTTTCTGTGCTTAGTTGAGTTTCAGTCCCTCTTGTGTACTCCTGTAAGGTCTCCCTTTTGACTTCACTTGCTGTCTGCCAGACTCCCCATCAAGAACCTAAAAGCAGTTTTGCAGTTCCACCAGTAAATATAGTAAAGGTAAAGGTTCCCCTTGACAATTTGTCCAGTCATGTCCAACTCTAGGGGCCGGTGCTCAACCCCGTTTCCAACCCATAAAGCTAGCGTTTGTCTGAAGACAATCTTCAGTGGTCACGTGGCCAGCGTGACTAGACATGGAACGTCACTACGTTCCCACCATGGTGGAACCTATTTATCTACTTGCATTTTGCATTTTGCATGCTTTTGAACCACTAGGTTGGCGGGAGCTGGTTCAAGCAATGGGGGCTCATTCCGACGCATGGATTCGATCTTACGATTGCAGGTCTTTTGATCTTGCAGTGCAGAGGCTTCTGTGGTTTAACCCACAGCGCCACCACGTCCCCATGCCAGTAAATATAGCCTTCTCCTTTTGCTCCTAACTGTGACTCTTTTCCATGGGTCTTCCTCCACTATGATTGCTCTCTCCTCAGCATTGTCCTCCTCTGCCTTCCCTTGTTCCTCTTTCACTTCCAATGTCTCCATTAGCTGCTGCTCAAGAGTTCTGGCAATGTATAGTTCATCTTCCCTCACAGCCTTAGGTATGGCTACTCACTGTTCCAGTTCTCTCATCCATCATGGGGAGGATTGGGGCCAGATCACCTGAATGATTGTTCAGCTGCTCTCACTAACCGATCATGGGTAAATTTAAAACCCCTGCTCTCTTTTCTTATGGCTCACCACCTTTCAGCCAGACTTGGACTGGACAGTCCTTAAAATAAAGGCTACGTCAAACAGAAGACTATGTTGTATAAGGCAGGACACATGACCTCCCTGTCGCCAGAGATGAGCAAAGGCCTTTTGCATCATGAGATGATCAAAAGAAGTGTTAAAAGTGTTAAAAAGCTCGTCTATGTTGGCCCTTTTGAAGCAGGCTGGGCACTGAGATGAGCACTTTTGCATCATGAGATAATCATAAGAAGTGTTAATATATTAGAGCACGTCTATGTTGGCCCTTTTGAAGCAGGCTGTGTGCGGTCTAAATAGCGTTGCTTAAGGTCAGGTGGAGGTGTGATACATCATTTGGTGTGATCTTCATATGGACTTCAAGCTATCCAGCTTAATCCAGATCCTTCCACTGTCAATTTCCAGTAACATGAAGTGACTTAATAAATGAGCCACTTCAAGATGTCAGCAAATTGAATATTTCCTCTGCTCCTCTGCGAAGCAGCAGGAAAGTGAAATTATTTTTCTTGCCTTTGGTAGATCATCCACTAACATCCTGCACCACTTAGATTAATTCAAAAAAATTATTTGCCTTGCATCTTGTGCTGCACAAGAAACTGTCCACAGCCATAGTTTTAATCAGCACTTCACGCAAGACAAGTATTTTTTTAAAATTAATCTAGGTTTTGCAGCACAACAGCAATGGTCTATCAG